ATATCTCTCTTTTATCAGAGAAAATCTCTCTGTTATCACTCGCTCCATAAACCCATCTAGAAAATACCAGTGAACTTGTTTCGATTCCAACAAAAGCAACTCAAAAAATTAACTCTAAACACGATAAAAAAAATCAGAAAATAATAAAGTCGCTCCATTGGAATCCAATTCATTTTAGCAATGGAGAGAAGAATAGAGAAGGACCATCAGAGAGGCTACGTCAACATCCTGAAGCGACCTCATCAAGTGGGAGGAAGACGAAGCAGCTCTCCGTTCCCCTCGACACCCTCACCTCGAGCTCCATCTAATCGCCTCTCTCTGGCCCTGATGGTGATAAAGAGAATTGACATAGAGAAAGAAAGATGACCCTTGTATAATTGACGTTTTGACAAGGAAACAACAGCAAAAGAAGACGATGATGTTGATGTGGGTGTGTTCATCATCTTCAGATGATGATGAGGGTGGATTTGGTGTTCAACGTCTTACTTACACATGATCGAGCAAGTTACTATGGAATTTTTACATATTTATCCTTGCTAGTTTGTAAATATCCTGTATTCCGTATGTATGTATGTATGTATGTATATGTAAACTATAATTATCAATTACTATTTTAAATTAAAAATAAAAATAAAATTCTTGACATCATAACAAAGCTTTCAAAGGTGTTCTACTCTCCAATAAGAATAAAAACATCTCAACTCTATCAGTTAATTAATAATTAATGAAGATTTTGACACATAGATGCAACTTATTGGATTTTGTACTGTGTGTAGATATATACAAATATGTTATATTTTAAATTTTGAGGGTATATTTAAAGTTATGTATAGGTGTAGAGGGATACATTCTTCATATTCATGATCAAAGTGCAAAAGAAGCAAGTCAGTAATATGCCTTCATTGTGCTGTTTGTTCCCATCACTGCACACCGATAACTTTCACTAATTTCAGTACTTGGATGAAGGTCAATACGACATTTTATACATACCCTAAGTAGTAACAACCTAGATCTCTCTCTCTCTCTCTCTCTCTCTCTCTCTCTCTCTATATATATATATATATATATATATATATATATATATATATATATATATATATGTGTATGTATATATTTATATATTTATATGTGCTAATAACTCATCTTTCCTCCTCTGCACAAGATGATCTCAGTGTATTAACTCATTCACTCTCCAACTGTCCGATGAGATGACAAGAACTAGGAGATGAGATTGCCAGCTCTAGGTCAAGGTGACTGCAAGTTGGGTCTCTACAGCCAATGGAACCTTCACTGCTTGTGATCCTGGGAACCACTGTTTCCTCTGGCTTCTGATGGTTGAAAGATGATAGAGTCAGCTCGCAATCCAGCTGAAGTAACTGCAAAAGCTTAGAGATAGGATCAGAACTTTACTTGTGTGTGAATTTGCTACAAGTAAAGAGTGAGTGCAAACCTCGTCATCTTGGTTGGATAGATCTCTTTCAATATATCCAAAATTATTTGTGTCATTATTTATGCTCCTTGAGATCAACTCTCTCATCACACCTTCAAATGATGGTCTGCACAAGTATCACACGAGTATAGAGTTTTAAGGACTTGAAAGCATCGTAGCATTAGGTTGTGCTCCAGAACTTGGCACTCACAATTGGAAGATGTAGTTGCAGCCGAGTCTGGAGTTCATCCGTGGATCTTCACAATGAAGTACTGGTGAAGTGGAATCAACAAAAGAAGTGTAATGCTGTGTTCTCCTCCTCCTTTTCTTGTTGTCTGTGGATGGAAACTTGTGGAGTTTGGCTTGGCTGATGGTGATTCTGTACATCTGTCAGGATAGATAAGGGATATCTGAGTTGCAACCTGCCTAATCTGCAAGTTATTCTTTAAGATAATCACAACCAAACTTGCGATTCAAGCTAACATATTTTATTGGATACCATCGTGTGACAAAAATTGTGATCTCGGAAAGATGATAAATCAGCATGGCTGCTGAGCCTATGCTACATTTGGGACTATACAATAGACACCTTTTTATTTCCGACACAGAAGAATGGATCTTTTCAAGGATGGATGTATGTAAATATGTTGTATTGGATGGTTCTTCCGTAAGAAGCATGATTTATAACCTGAAAGTAATATGCTGTTTATAATTCCTATATACCCATGTATGTATGTGGCAGCAAATATATAAATATATATATAAATATATATATGATCATCTACCAAAGGCCGAAGCTGTAAGCAGATAAAAGAAGACTCATTATTTCTGCAGCAAAAGTATATAAACATACTTGCAGGTGGCTTTTAACATGAGACATCCCGAGTCCCTTCACACTCATCAGTCGTAAGATTTGCTTTGGAGTTGCTTCTGCAATAACCATTACAAATACAAATGAAATCAGAATCTTTACTTCAGTTCTGCACTAGAAAGTAATTACAGGATAATTGAAATCAAGATCTCAAGCCCAGTAAACTTTTCATCAATAAAAATATATTACTAGTCATATTATAATGGAAATTTGGTCATATGATAATCTTATACCAAATACTACACCTCAATAATCCGATACTAGATCTAAAATTCTCAGTATAATACTGGCATGATCACACATCATTCTACATAAAAAATAATTATTCATAAAATCTTGTGGGATTCTATATACATGTTTCTTACTATTTTGTTAGATAGAAGTAGCAATCATTAGATCTTGGTAATGATCATTGCATGAACTAACAAAACTTGCTGTTTGTCATGGCACAGTAATCTTATTATCCATTCATATGTTGACCTGCACATGTTGTGTCTGAGAGAGAGAGAGAGAGAGAAAAAGTAGTATTCTTACTGTTCTCTCCTCCGAGGCTCGCGACAGCTTGGATGAAGCGGCGATGGAGGTCCTCGGTCCACCGGATGCGGGGGGTTTCAGATCGGTTGTACTGTCTCGCTCCACTTCTCCCAAAGCATGTCATCTCTTAAGCTGTGGTTTCTCCCCTGGAAACTGGTGCACGCAGATGACGACCACCACAACCTTGTCTCTTACAACAAGCTCCGCAATGTTGTATCTACAATCCCTCCTAACCTTTTTTTCCCCTGCTTGCTGTGTACATATGTAGGGGTTAGGCTCTCCCGACTGAGTCCGGTCAAACATGCTCCAATCTCTCCAAAAAGTTGAACGAGACTGTGGATGGAGAAAATCTATGCTCGTGCTTTGACGAAAGATGGCGCTGTTAACATGCACGATATTGGTAGCTTGCTCATTCATGAGCTCCTTGAGGGTCCAATGTCATATGTGAGAGAAACTGGTTAATGCCTACATTCTTTGTTTAATCTCAAAGTTGTATTACAATAAGCAGCACTCCACGTGCCATCAATCGCTTCTGGATTCATAAATGTTTGTTTGGTGGAACAAGCAACATGCTTTTGGGGGCTGAGACGAAAGCCTTACACAAGAGTACAATGTGGAAGTCAAGGATGCTATCTATCCTTGGAAAGAATGTAGCACCCTTGTGGACAAAGGTATGCCGCAGGAGTCACTCTCTCGTGCAGTTTCCTGGACGAGCAATTATTATTTGGGATCCAATAGTCCAATCGATGGTGATGCTCGACATGTTCTTGTTTTGACTGGAAACGAAACATCTTCTTTTGCGGTGACTGTTGCAAGGTTGCCATCCGGTGGCAAGTTTGATGCGTGCTTGATAATGAGTTGACAGATGGGACAGCTTAATCAATATTTTCATGTAGAATCACATGTCGCAGCAAATTCTTTCTTTCTTTTTTTTTTTTACTGCCATAATTAGGAGACGAGATTTTGACCTTCGGATTCTGTAGTTAAAGCCCACCGATTCGAGTTAATCGTGGATTAAATTCTTTGCCAAACTGGCCGCTCCTTTCTTCCCTTCTTGGTTCATGTCCGAAAGGCTGGGCTTGCGTCGCAGCAATCGGTCGTCTTCCTCGAGAACCGAGAGGTTGGGGGAGGGCGCAAAGGAATGGTGTCAGAGTGTGTGGCAAGTCAACAAATGAAGCTTTGGGGATGCCAAAAGCCATTAAACTCCTCTCTCTCTCTCTCTCTCTCTCTCTCTCTCTCTCTCTCTCGCTTTCTCTTTCCATTGTCTTCGTGTCAAATGCTGACGGTGCCAAACTCTTGAAACTGTTCCCTTCGCTTGCCGTGTCCCAAACTACTTGACTTGTTGATTTCTTCCACGTATGACGACGAGGATGGAGGAGACAAGGCTCGGATCGGACACCACGAGCGTCTGACGGTCGGTGGCTGGCCTACGAATGGTGTTGGTCCTCAGCGATGAAGAAGGGGTGGAGGACTACAGGTTCCCATTCATCGAAGATCCAAACTCGACAAATCATTTGCCACCAAATTCAATGATTCGAGTGAGGTGCCGGATTCAAGCTCGATGGACAGACAGACAGACACAAGATGATTAATTCCTAAGATCAAATATGCAGATACATTTAGAAAAAAAAAGAAAAAGAAAAAGAAAAGAAAAGGTGAGATAAGCTTCATCAGATCATGTGGTGAGTGGTGTATTGATATGTTATGGGGGTGCGGTTTGTCTTTGTCTTCTTCTCTCGCACTTGCTTGCTTTCAGCTTTTTCTTGTGAAAGTGGACAGACTTGCAAGTTAGGCAGACATCCCCAACTCAAAATCATGCATGTTTAAAGCACGTTGTGTTTGCCTTAGCTCGCATGCAGCTTTCATCTTCGCAGCGACTGGTCTGACAGACTTGAAAGCTTCCTCCTCATCTTTGAAAATGCCTGCAATCGCTTTTGATCCATGGAAAAAAGATGTTTCAGAGTGCATGCTTTTTTGGGGTGCCTTAGAACACTGACTCTATCACCACACAGTTTTTTAATATGATCGGCCTCATGCAATGCTACAATGATAGTAATTATAGACTGAGCATTATAATTCCTTTCTCTCTCTCTCTCTCTCTCTCTCTCTCTCACACACACACACACACACACACACACATATAAGATGAATTCAACAGAAGAAAGTATATGGCTCGAGACTGCATTTTCACTTTTGGATTACTCCGCAGCCGAATCAGTTGCTCTTTGCGAGTTCTCTTCACCATTAGAGACGACTGCCATTGTCAAGGATGAAAAGGACGCTTCTCCTTTTTGAATAATGCAGAGATAGGCTTCAAAGGCTTGTGAGTAAGTTCTGCTGTAATGTTAGTGATCGATTGGGGGACGGGTGATTGTATACTTGTTGTAATCGATTGACGAGGAGGTTGAGGGTGCAAACTTGGGGTTGATGTCAACCAAAATCATCTCACTGATTGATTCTTCAACTTAAAATGTCAGAAAATATTAGTTGATGAAAATAGTTTTTTTTTTCTTTCTAAACTATATATATATATATATATATATATATATATATATATATATATATATATATATATATATATATATTATATTTAAGCTTCTAAATATATCCCAAAGTTATGATAAGAATTTGATCAAAAAAGATTGAACTCTTTGTATACGATAACTTAATTTCGATTGGATCCCAAAATCAAAATATCGACCTCAAGAAAATTTTTAGAAAAACTTTCGGTTGAAACCAAAAGGACCAATAATTATAACAAAATTTTTAATTTGAAAAAAAAATATTTATTATTATTATTATTTTTAATTAGTTGGAATATGAACAGTTTGGTGCTATTTCTATTTTCTCTATCTATCTATCTATCTATCTATCTTTTTCTCATTTCCACCGAAGCATAATCATCATCTTTAGCATAAGGAAGTGGTGTGTTTACAACTACACCATCATCTTGATTACAACTACAGTTGTTCAATATTATCATGCACATCATCAATTAAAACAACTCCACAAACATCTAATGCATTATAATTATAATGCATTATAATTTATTTTGAAAAATATCACTAGTGTCAACATCTTTATCACAATAAAATGGGTCATTCAAGTGTATGGCATAAGTGCCAAAATTGGAGTTATTTGATAGTTGACTTTCATCCATCACCTAATATTTGAATATCAATCTTACTAAGAAGCGAAAACAGAAAGTGAATTGTCCTTATAATAATAAGATCATTAGAAAAATAAGCATATAACATTTCATAGAAGAACCAATATAACAATAACAATATATATATATATATATATATATATATATATATATATATATATATATATATATATATATATATATATATA